GCGAAGGGGCGGCCGAGCCCCCCCGGGAGTTACGCTGTAGCGACTGCATCGTGTGGAACCGGCAGCAGACGTGGCTGTGCGTGGTACCTCTGTTCATCGGCTTCATCGGCCTGGGGCTCAGCCTCATGCTTCTCAAATGGATCGTGGTGGGCTCCGTCAAGGAGTACGTGCCCACCGACCTAGTGGACTCCAAGGGGATGGGCCAGGACCCCTTCTTCCTCTCGAAGCCCAGCTCTTTCCCCAAGGCCATGGAGACCACCACCACTACCACCTCCACCACGTCCCCCGCCACCCCCTCCGCCGGGGGTGCCGCCTCCTCCAGGACGCCCAACCGGATTAGCACTCGCCTGACCACCATCACGCGGGCGCCCACTCGCTTCCCTGGGCACCGGGTGCCCATCCGGGCCAGCCCGCGCTCCACCACAGCACGGAACACTGCGGCCCCTTCGACGGTCCTGTCCACCACGGCCCCGTTCTTTAGTAGCAGCACGCCGGGCTCCCGACCCCCGGTGCCAGGAACCCCAAGTACCCAGGCAATGCCATCCTGGCCCACTGCGGCATACGCTACCTCCTCCTACCTTCACGATTCTACTCCCTCCTGGACCCTGTCTCCCTTTCAGGATGCTGCCTCTTCTTCCTCTTCTTCCTCCTCCTCTACCACCACCACACCAGAAACTAGCACCAGCCCCAAATTTCGTAAGTAAACACTGTGTCTCAACTATGATTTACTACTGGGTTTCCTTTCTGCCCTCCTGCTTTTTCCCTCGCCGCCTGCCTTCTAGCAACCCCCCTCCCCCATCCCAGGTTTTGGGGCAGAGTGAGAGCTGATTAAAACTGGCCACCAGAGGGGAGGGTGCCAGCCTGCCCTGGTTCTCGGGGGTGGGGGCGTGTAGAAAGGGGAGGGAGATTGTCAGGCTCCACTGGCCCCACTTTTGCGGGTCCCAAATGAGAACAGATCTCCCAGCTCCTTTCAAAGGGTTAACGCGAGTGCGATCCCTCCTCTCTGCAGACCTGCTGGCGAGCTGCCGGATCCCGCTCCAGTAGAGGGCCGGGGAGGGAGAGAGGGCCTTCCCCAAGGCACTGAGCCCCTTCTCCGCCCGCCGGTAGGAAGGAAAGAAAGCAAAGCACATGCAAAGTGACCGACAATAAACCACAGAAGGAAGTTATGTCCATGTGTGGGGTGACGAGTTGATGGAGGTATTCGTTTAATGTAGCTGAGGACGCTTCCAGCAGCCCTGACCTGGGCAGGAACCAGAAAGGGTTAATTAGAAGCCATTGGGAGACTTGGGGAAAGGAGGCGATCCAAGGCAAAGGGCTAAACTGGTCACCTCCTAGCCTGCCCGTGGCCATTCCAAGGTGTAGACATTGATTCTGTGGCCGGCCAGAGTGAGTTAACTAGGAGGAAATAGGAAGGGAGCCCTGCCGAGCTGCCACCTCTAGGGTCCTGACGAAGGAGGAGTTTTTTTTTTTTTTTTTTTTTTCAGCCCTGCCAAGCCTTTGCTTTTGTTCCGTTCCCATAGGTGAGGTGTGAACCTTATCTCCTCTCCCTCTGTGCCTGAAAAACATAGGCGAGTTGAGAGTTTTCTGCACTCAAGGGTGAGAACATCCAACCGTTTGGAAACATGTCACCGTTAGAATGTAGCATCTTCAACCTGGGCTCAGTATGGGCCAGTATACCCAAAGCATGATAGCTTTCTGTTTATTTGTATAGAAAGTGCATATTTTCTCAGCATGTTTATAAATGTTTTAGGTGACTCATTGACCTCCCACCCCACCCCCCACCTTGTTTTTATTCTAAGGAAATCTCAGGCGTCTTTTAAACTGATTTGATCAGGATATGGGAACAGTTTGTGCAACCTGTGAAGGTTATTTAGGACAAACTCCAGCCTGCTAGTTCAAGTTCTGTGCAAGGCTATCTTGCAGAAAACTGTCTGGTTATGCTGTCTTTATATTGTATTTGTGTTTTGAGCATCTGGGAGAAGGGAAGAGTGTTCATCATTAACTCTTCAGTGATGGTGGGAATACCGGGTTTGCTTTCAGTCATCTGCTAATTTTTCATTTCCCTTATCTGTGATCTTATCCTGGGTGTTACTTAACCCTTGAAACTTTTTTCTTTTTAAAGAATTTAGTATATTTGTAAGTAAGGTCCAGGAGAGGGAAAGGAAAAAAAAAAAGCAAACCTACTTTGCTTTGGAAAAAACAGTCTAGAAGATAAATTGGGAGACAGGAAGGAGGGAAGGAAGGAATCTGCCACAAACCAGAATGGCAGTAGAGTCTGTAACTTGCTGCTTCTCTCTCCTTTGGCTGAAGCAGTCATTTTTGAGAGCACATTTTCTCAGGAGGTGTTTAGAGCCTCCACTCAATAAATCTAACTTGAGTTTTGTAGAAGGATAAAGGATTCATGAGTGTATGTGTGAGCATATTCAATGGACTGAAAATGAGTCTACTCTGAAGACCCCAGATTTTTGATTTGCTCTTTTGATGCAGTTGATATGAATAATGGAGTGTGGTATATCTCCAACCCTTGTATGCGTTGGGAGAGGAGGGGGACTACACATGGTAGGGGTATTTCATGTTCTTTCCCAATTGATTTCCTTGTGTTCCATTCCGGAGGTCTTTAAAGAAAAGCCCAAGGTAATTATTTCTACCCCTCTATGTTCTCTTCCTACATTCTGTGGACTGGAATGGCAGCCTGTTTAATAAGTAATGATTATTGACAGGGCCCTCAGCCCCAAGGAAAAGAGGGGAAAAATCTGTAAATGGTGTCAATGTTCACATAGACTTAGAAGCAGTATTTGTTTTATTTGTATCTTACGTTCAGTTCTTTCTCTTTTTTAAACCTTTACAAGAAGTTGAATTAAGGTATATAATACAAGTATGCAAAATCCAGCTGAAATTGACCTGGTTTGCATCTATAAACAAGGGAAATTTTAATGAAAAGTGGATTATGTAGTTTTCTTAAAACGTATTTAAATAGGCAAGTTGTATGGTGATTTGAAGAAAGAGGATAGCTTAGTTATTTTTTCATCCAAGATTGCAGGATGATTAACAAAAGGAAATTAAGATTTCATTTGAGAGATTATCAGCAATGCTACTGTAGGATGAAAAAAGCCTGAATCACTGGCGTTCATATTGTTTTTTACTTGTCTTGGTTATGCCCCTAAAGTTCCCAAGAGAGAAATTTCCTTTTCCCCAGCTCCTACCTCCGTACTTTAGTGGGTCTTTTCTGTCCTGGTGCTTTTTTTTTTTTTTTTTTTTTTTTTTTTTTTTTAAATGAAAGTAATGGATTCTGTTGTAGTACTTGAAAAATGGTTACGGATGATGCTTTGGTTTTTTGACTAACCCACAAATTCTTTAATGGCCAGGATCTTTGCTTTTGCATTGGATACCTGAAGGCTTATGGAATGAATGTCTTTGTGTTCATCTTAGATCAATCAGAAGGATCCTGTCTGTAAACGGCAGCATAGCTCTTTGGAGTGGAAGAGGCTGATTCACTGAAAATGAACATGCTTGCTAATGGATAATGGAATTTTTTCAAGCAACAACTATTCTTGCTATGGGGAAGGCCCAGTTGGAGAACTGTTTCTAATTTTCTGTAGGATCAAAGACAAAGAAGGATTGAACTTGTAAGGCAGGAGGGGAAAGGAGGGTTTGCAAGTTGATTCTTCTCTTCCCATCCTCCATTGTTTAGGCTGTGAGCTGGACAAAAACTTTCTTCAGTGTTACTGGGATTCTTGGGTTTCCAGTTGCCCAGTACTTGCTTGCACTTCAGACTCTAAAAACGAATATCTTAAACATATTGCCAGGGGAGATTATTTCACCAAAAACATCTTTGAAGCATTTTGTATTTGAAAGTATAGGTTAATTTGCAGGTTTTTCAAGCCAAAGGGAGGTCACTACAGACAGTAGAGAACAGTGATTTTGACCAATGTACAATCAGTGTTTCCCTTTTACACCTCCTTCAATTTCATTTTGAGATTTGAAATATAGTTGTACAATGTTGCCAATGCAAATATGGATTGTTTTAGAGACACAGAATTCTTTTACTAAGCTGAAAATACTGTTTAACAGGTGGTAGCCCGGAGTCATTGGCTAAATTCAAATACTAAAGACAAAGAACCTATTTTAATAGATGTTTCTTTGGGTTAGATTTGGAAGGTATATGGTTAATTATAATGAACACACAAATATCAAATAGTGTATTTAAGAAGAAATAAATGTAGAATATACATTTGATGTTTAAGCAAGGTATGGAGGCAATTTTAATTTAATCAAGTCTATTTAGATGAAACTTTACCTAGTCATACCTACTATAATTTTTAAGAGAGGCATTGATAAAATCAACTATTTTCTTATTTATTCTTTCCAACGTCTTCCTTAAATTTTAAGAGTACACTTGTTTGCTGTATAAGCAGCCTCAGATATAATTTGTTTAAATAAAGTTACTCCTGTACGTAGTATTCTGTCTACATGAGTCTCGGCCTTCAAAGGCATCCACATAGAAGGTACTGACCCCAATCATGCATGGTAGCTAAAGTGAGAGGATTCAGTGCTCAGGATCAATATTTCTTATGAAATCCAATTGAGAGCTTTTTTTTTTTATGAGCACATGCTGCAACCTGAGTATGTTTTGATTTTCTTTGGCCTTAATACAGGATTATGAGACTTTTCTGCTTTAATCAATTATGCTGTACAATTTTACTGTTACACACTTATGCTGCACTTCATGGTCCTAATTAAAAAAAAGAGGGCAGGGGTGGGTGTGTTAGCAAAGATTTTTTTAGGGCCATTTTTAGTTTGGACTCGTTGGTCTCCGTGCATGAAGACAATGCGGTTTAAGCATTCCTCCCCAGTTCTTCAAACTGAGGTGAGGAATAGGAGGTGGTGTTGCTAATTGAGAGTCCCTTCTGCAGGTTTGATTTGTGAATCCAGTTACCTTTATATTTATGCTATTTTCAAAACCTGACCCAAAAAAAGCTGGTTTCTGGCAATTTCTCGCTGTTACTGAAGCTTTTCTAAATTCAGGTTGGGCCACAACAGCAGTGTTGGTGCAGTTTGAAATCAGTGCCATCCTGGGAGATCCAGGATGTAGAGGAACACCATCTCTCCTCTCTCTGGAGCTACTTTTTCAGCCCTTCCTCCCCTTTGTACACAATGAGAAGAAAGCTTATTTTCAACTTGCTTTTGTAGAAATTCTTTCCTCATAACCTCTCATCTCCAATGCCAAACATATCTCAATATTCTATCTGGGATGTCAAAAATGGAACATGAAAGTTGGCCCCGAAATCTATAAGAGCAAGGGAATAGTCATAAATCTAAGTCTTTAAAATGCATTTGAATTGCTTCTGAATAGAACTGAAATTCATTTTTCTTTCCTTCTAGCTGTTTTTATCTTTAGAGTCGTGTGTTGGGTGAGGACAGAGCTGGTACTGCGTTGACAAATACATTTTGAGATCCTAGAAATTTTACTTTTCCACCCAAGAAAGTGTTCCCTCCAGAACCATATACATAGTGAAGTGAGCAATGGACTCTATTTGAAACTTTGCAATATCACAATCAAAACTTACCGAAATAAATGTTTCCTATTCATGCAATTATAAATAAAATCGTTAGACACATGTTTAGTTTGGTTTTGCATTTCACCCTTCCCCTAAGACTACCTGTACTCCTACCTTCCAGTATTTTATAGTTGAATC